CAAAACAGCGATTAGTTTTATTTTGTACTCTAGTAGTTTTGACAGTTACATTAATTCGAACCACAATTTCAATAAAGCGCAACAAGAACTAGTGTTAAGAATTGACTGATCAATAACTTGATCAATAATTCAATTGTTAATTTTGTCTAGGTTATTTACTAGCATGTCTGTACAAAGTCAGTTCTAGAGTAGTTTGGAATCAGAAAGTTTGGTAATGGAGCAAATCGGTTTGTCGATAGGAGCGCAAATGTAATTTTAGTAGCGAGCATATCACTTAGATTTTGTCGTAATACCCCATCATTTATTGAATATCCATCCTGATAGATGACTTGAATACGGGCTGTCACGTCCAAAAAGGCGTTTAACGACAATGTAGACCTCTGTTGGGTACAGATAAGACTTACAGAACTTGACAAGGCTTACTGCTTGTCGAAATGTCAATTCAAATCCTCACTCCAATCATTCATTATAAAATCGCTTATAAATTACCGTATCAAAGGAAATTGTGGACAAATTGTTGAAAAGTAACCAATTAAAAGGATTTAAAGTGTCTACCAAAAAGGAGTTCAAGGAAGCGGTTTAATTGATTGAATAATAAATTATTTCGGGTTTTAATTTGAGATAGTGACCAAGTTATGCACAACTCTATTGCATTTATAATCTAATTTTAACAAACCGTTGTCCGTTTGCCCATCGGCGAATGGCGATCCGAACTAGAATAATTGTTTGATTAAATTCACGTTAGCTTTCTGAATAAATATTCAGCCACAAATCCCCAGCGTATATTTTCTTTTAAAATATTATCAGTGAGGAAAATTATGCAATAAATATTTATACAGTTGATCGTTTTAATTAAGCTTTTTTTAGTTTTTTTTGGGTTTGTAAGTTTTGCAAGAGGTTTATGCGCTATTTTTTTAATATGGGCAAAAACGGATTCATTATTTAGCACGTAAAAATTCCGGAAATAAACACCACCATTGTAAAAGTTTATCTATCCGAGACCAACAACAGTATTTCCACTTTATGATGCAATATATCTAAAGTGTTTCGAAGTACTTGCTTCTAAACATAAATTCTCCTAAACTGGACTTGGCAAACAATGGAATTAAATTTTTCAAAATAAATCATAAAAACTGTCGTGAATAAATAACATATAGGGGGCGAGTCAAGAATTCATGCAAATGTGTCTGCTGGATAATCAGATACGCTTCTCCCTAAAGGTTTTCCTAATGTTTTATCGCATCAAAACGTTATCATGACACTAAATTTTTAATTCCCTCATGTCTTAAAGGCGTAAGCTCCATTTAAAGTAGTGTCGAGGGGAAAGTTATTGAAACTGAGTTGTCATGGCTGATACAATGAGTAGGGAGTATTTGAGGAATGAGCAGCACTAATTAAATTTCGTGTCAGTCATAATTCCATTTTGCGTCTTGTAGGGTGGCATTTACAGATTTAAATGGATTGTATCATGTCTCAACTTATCTGTTGCTTTTGTTATAAGCACAAAATCCTGAATTGACACATAACTACACACACGGACATAAAATTATCGACAGTTTGAATCTATCAATGCAAAGTTACCGCTTAATTATAGCTAATATAAGAGCTACTCTAATTGCGGTTTTTATTTGGGTTAATTGCAGCAACATCTGCTTGATAGATCTCGATGAAACTAATTGTAGTTCCGCGACTGGTTTACGTGTGCGCTTTCTTTATGTGAAATGTATAATGAAGCAAACGTGCAACATCCGTTTGTGCAAATACCAATTAATTAAATTCATCAAAAGACACAAGTGGAAGTGGCAAACAAAGCGTTCAGTTTCAGCATATAATGCGCAGCAGATTAGAGTAAATTTAATTTAAGTGCCGCAAATATTGGTCGACAAATTTAAGCACTTTAGAATCTCTTTAAATTATTCAACTTATTCCTTGATGTGTTTCGTCCCAGTCTTGACCGCTACTTCGAAACGAACTAAAACGAAATAGGAAATTGCCACTTTACTTGAACGTAAATGCCGAATGCCTCTTCTCTTTTTATAAAATATGCAAAATCTTGCCAGAAATAATTTACTTTATAGGGTTAGCGTTCACAATTTACTTTACGTTCAAGATTTGGATCGCGATACAAATGCTTTTCTTAGCCATAAGCTCTTGTGTAAACGCAATTTTATTGTATTTGTTGGTATAGTAGCGCAGAAAGAGCTCGGCTCTTTTATTTTGTAAACTTAGGAAAATGCAATATTAAATCTAATCATAGCTCTCGCCGGTTTAAACTTGTTATGCTAGTTATTAAAACGAATTTTTCAAAAACATCTAAACTGAATTGTTCCAAGTTAAACGTAAAAGGGGTCGTATTGTGTTTAACAAGCGTAATTTAAATTACTGTTTTTAGGTGCGACGTAAAATCTCTAACTTCTATTATTAATTTTTGATTTTTTTATACTAATAACCTAACATTGGCATTATTTCAGTTTGGTTAATAATCTGCGATTTAATTCTTTATTCTTATTGGAATGCAGAATATTTTATTTTCTATTTCCAGTTTAATATGAATAAATTAATTTTATGCTCTTGTAGTAGAATTGGAGACACTGTTTTATAGAAGTTTTGAGTACCACATAAATCTAAATGAGATACTGAGTATACATTTTCTAAAAGCGGCTTTATTTTTGTTTAGTAAATATGTATTTTTAATCAAATTACTTTTAAATAAATCTACAGGGTTATTCATAAATATGAAGCAATATTTGAACCTCAAAAATGACCTATAAAATGATGTTAATTTAAATAATAACTCGTGTCCTATCTCCAATGATAAGAATTTTACAGCCCTCGGAATGTGGGTATGGAAATTTGATTTTTTTGTAATAACTTTGGAACTATTTGACCAAATATTATAAAATTTGGAACATCTCCCTGTGACAACATACCCTAAAATAGACCGTTTCAAAGATATTTTCATTTAACTGAGGACTGCACAACACTGAAATCAAAAAATAGGGATTTTGAATAAGTGGTATCTACGGCAACCAATGACCATGGTCACATAAATCCCTGCCAGCTTGACGATAAATTTTTGTGAATTTTTTATGAATTAAATGCTGCGAGATCCATTTGGATTTATTCTCTAAGTTATGTTTGGAATCTGAGGTAAACTCTTTTATTAAATATTTTCGATTAATTGTCTAATAATCGTCCAATGTCAAAGTTGACAGATGCCTGACAGCGATTAGTGAGACCATGGTCATTTGTTACCGTGGAAATCATCCATTCAAAATCCCTACTTTTTGATTTCAGCGTTGTGCTGTCCTCAGTTTAAATTAAAATATCTTTATATCTTTGAAACGGTCTATTTTAGGGGTATTAAAGGTTATGCGTTTTTTAATCGAAATTGATTGCTCTATCGATTTGGGCAATAAAAAATTGGTGTTAAGAGAGCAAAAAAATGGAAAAACACAGAAAATGTGACCTGCAACAGTTGGAACCGGAAATTGAGTGGATGTATCCGGTTTTCGTGATTACCCGTTTAAAGGGTATGTTGTCACATGAAAATATTCCAAATTTTATAAAAATTGGTCAAATAGTTCCAGAGTTATTACAAAAAAATCAAATTTCCATACCCACATTCCGAGGGCTGTAAAATTCTTATCAGTAGAGATAGGACACGAGTTATTATTTAAATTAACATCCTTTTATAGGTCATTTTTGTGGTTCAAATATTGCTTCATATTTATGAATAACCCTGTATAATAAACTGCAATTTTTTGTCTGATTCGGTTTAGGAGATTTATAAGAAATTTTGGCTTTTATTATTAGTATTGAAACTGTCTCCAACTTTCTGGAAAATTAATTTTTCAGTTAGCTAATAATACCTATTATACACGTGTTAAAGCATGTTAAATAAACTTGTACTTTGTAAAATTATAATTTGACAAAAATACATTACTCTCGTTGATAGTTTTTTGTTTTTTCGTTTAAAATTAAATTTTTCATTAGAACACTAGTAGGTAAGTAGAAGTAATTATTTTTTTATGAAAGATAACGTAGCGCAGGTGCCTTTGGCGACAAAGACGCTACGTGTTCATGCCTTTGAATTTATTAGAATAATTGAATGTATACATTGCGCATAGTAATTTATTTTATTAACGAGAATACTGCAGCAAAACAGAATTAATCAGGTTAGCATATAGGTGAAATCGGCCAGATAAACAATGTTTAGATGTCTGGAAACATATTTCTCCCAATTCCATTAGCTTGCGTTGAAATATAGACCACACATATTCACACATAATAAACTATTAAGCAAGAATGATAAGAACATTTCCGTCTCATTACAACGTTGAACTTGCATTTATAAAAGCAGAAATGACCAAATAAAAAATCATTTCGCAATTAATTTTAATGATTGTTCGAATTGTTTGAGCGTTCAAAGGGACACTTTAAATAACACTTGCAATAAATTGAGGAAAGTTTCCTATTGGAGAGTGCAATTAATAAGACATTTAAAGAAAGTTTTCTGATTCGAGTATGTAACGAAAAAGCAGTTTCCTACTAAAAGTTCGGTGCAGCGAAACACAAAACCTTTTTAATTTCTCTGAGTATTTGGGGATATTAGATTTTGGATCAGGGATGTAACCACAGGTGTTTCGCTTTTTTTGCTAGTAAGAAAGTGGAAACCAGTTTAAAACTTGATCGTACCTATTTAAAAAAAAAGTGTAAATTTGTATTGAGATATTGATTTCGTTGCGATAACCTTGACTGCATTTATAATTTCAAGTGAAACTGTATTCACATTTCATTTAGATTAGATCTGGAATTAAATTACATCACCTCAATCATCTTAAGGTGCTGCTCACTCATTTAGTTAAAATTTAGTTTTTTTTGCAAAATGTAAACTGTGTTAAGTTGGTAATTTAATCTAAACTAAACAGATCCCGAATCTCACCGATTACGATTACCGAAACAAAATAAAAAAGAGAGTTTCGTAATGTTGTACTTACTTCAACATCGTTGATAAACCAGGTGATATTCATCGGCGGATAAGACCCAGGCGTTGTGCAATTAGCCTTTATCCTGGCTCCTATCGATTTCTCTTGGACTTCTGTTCGCAAAACTGGTCCTTCATCAGGCACGTCTGTAAAAAATCGTAGCAATTTGCAGACGATAAAGGCAAATCGAATCCAATTAAGTTATTACACAGTAAACATCTCATCAATGTGTAATAATCGAGTAGCGATGAATGGTAAACCTAATTTATCGGTCTCGACTGATATACACTGCTTAAAGCGACAGCAATTCATCGAAGCCGCAGCTATTTGCTTTGAGAGTGTTAACGTTTAATGGCCTAAAGACGCCGCTTGTATTTACGGGACACTGTCAAAGGGCAAGATTTTTCGCACGACGGAGGTATTTCCGAGCGACATAAAAGCTCAGGGTGTCCTCTATGAAGAAGAATGGGGATTCTAAAGTTTAATAATACCTGCAACAAGTAAATGCGCGGCACGTATGTCGGTATGAAAGCGTGGTGCATCCGCAGAAACTTCACACTTAAATTCTCCAGAAGTTTCTCTCTTCACGTCCGTTAAGGTCACTACCGTTGAATTAGATCTCGACACCTGGAAATAAAATGTTTTGTCAGTTCGCTAGGTTTTCGTATTACTGCTCCACAGATTTGTTTTATTTAATTTTTATTAGATTGTATGATAGCTACTCCAGACAAAATTAAAATATGTATATTTGATTTGGTTTTCAGCAAATATATAGATATACCAGGTGAATAAAAAGTATGGAACCAAACGTTTCTTGCTTAAACTATTTATTTTTTGAAAAAACTAATTGATGAGTCATAAAGTACTATAAAAATGTGATGATTTAATAAGAATAAAATTTTTCGAAATTTCCTCCTGTTTTTGAGTTCTACAAAAAAAATATTTTTTTAAATGGCAACCCACTATAAAATCATTTTTTTCATAAAAGCTATACTCTAAGGATTACAACTATCTGCTTTATATTTAATTTTTTCACATAAATTGCAATTTTGACAAAAAAAATCGCGTAACTCAAAAACTCAAAAATACGATCACATTTTTTATATTACTCTAATTTATATTAATTATTATTTTCTGGAGGCAAATGATCAAAAATAAAACCGCTTGGTTCCATACTTTATATTTACCCGCGGCTTTATTTTTTTTTCGTTTTGGTTTAATCTTGTAAAAATATGAAATTATCAAAAAGTTACAGATAAATTTAAATCGCAAACTACATCATCAGTCATCGGCTTTCAGAAAAAAAAAACAGCTATAACCTTAAGAAAACACTTACGATGGAACATACAGGTGATATAAATGATTTTCATAAAGTTGGGTAGAGGCAACTTGTTATAATTAATTAAATCTATAAATCTTTAAAGAAAAATTATTTTAGGTATATTTCTATTAGTTTATTTGAAGCAAAATGGTATTTTGTCAAATTATGTGGAGGCTGGTGTTTTAGCATAAATGAGTGATTGCGAGGAAAGTTTTGCGTAGTTTTGACGAAGCACACAACTTTCTGAATCTATAAGCAGTAGATAAAAAAGAAATGCCGATTTGATGGCACCGTCACAATAATTGTGCAAGCGTAGCACATGTTAGTGCTCGTTGTAAAGTTCCTGGGGACTATGAAAGAACAACAAAGCAAGATTTCTATGATCAATTTGATCGTTTACAATCGTACGTTTTACGATTCTTCTTTATTGAATACTTGAATATTTCCAGCATGGCGCTTACTAAAATATAAAAAGATGTACTTTTATATCCGTCGAATTTATTGGGTATTTATCAGTGTTTATTTTTATGAAGCCATTACATCTGTGCGAACTTGTAAACGACCAAAATGTATTACTAAGTGGCTTTGGTTGCGTGCAAACTGCCAGAGAAGGTTTTTCTTTAAAAAAGGCCACCAAATTGTATTCGGTCGCTGTAAAACGTCCTCTTAAATAAATGAGTCTATTTAAAATTGTATTCATCGCATGAGTATAGTAAAATGTAGGTTTGGTGTTCCTTCATTTAATTGTTAAATTGGGAGGGGCCGTAAAGTCGGCCGCATGTCCTGTGAAGGCAGTCGTGTAATACTTGTGAGGCCATAAAAGCGCTCCAGAGGGATTTGGCGTATCCAGAGTGACCCGAATAAACGACTGGACCCTTCTTAAAGGGAAATTGGATGTTTATTGGAATCAACTGCACTTAACGGTTATCGAAAATCGACTTAAACTCGACTGCAGACTAAACTTTATTAATTAGAGAGCGCTTCGAAAAAAGCCCTTATAAATGATCAAAAGACTTCGTTTTATACAATAATGGATGAAACGATTGTGGGGGTTTGGTGGTGTTTAAGCTCCAATTCGCAGGTGCACGAGTTTCTCTCTACGTGTTGAAGAAGAAGGTGATGCTCCATTTTGATTCAGCTGCTTTTGATGTTAAGATATTTGCAAGTTTAAATTTACAAGCGGCATAATCTGCATACAATCAAGAGCGACGTTGGGCTCGACAGAAGGATACATTTTCTTCATACTTCCGGCGTCTTGTGCTTCAAGTGCCATACTTTTCAAGATTCTTTATAAATAAAATTTTGTGTGGCGTATTCAAGCAAATCAGTTACAAGGTTTGGAAAACTCCGATTCTTACTTCAGTGTGTTTCCCAATACAAATATAAAGATATGCGAATAGTCATTACAGGCAGTTTGCAAATAAAATTTAATTCAACTCCAAAAAGTTTATTTATGTAAAGGATTGACTACTCTCTTAATTAATTTGTGTTTCAACAGACATTTTATATTAGGAGACGAAACTTTCATCATTATCAAGTTTTCTGCTTTTCTGTTCTATAAATTTTGTTTTTGCGATTTATCAAGTGCTTAATTAATTTTTTCTTTAAGTTACTAAAGTATGTATTTATTAAAATACTCTTCTAGAAAGTTAATTTTCTATATCGATATAAATTATGTAGTAAAAATAGTAAATTTAAATTTAATTATGGTTACTGTATAACTTCTTGTATTTTATATGCCAAATGGTTGTTGTATACCCACTTTTAAGGTGCCACTGTCAATCTTCAAAACATTATAACTCCATGCCTCTTGCAATTATGCTAAGCTTTACTTTACCAAGCTTTTATTTTGCTGTTTTGTATATTTTTACACTTTACTTGAAGTAGAATTTATTAAAAAATTAAAATAATAGACTACATACTAAGATGAGAGGTGCTTCATTACCAAGGCGAAATTTGATGATAAAGGCGATGGGAAGTGGCCAACCTGCACTGTCATATTACATATCAACTGAAAAGGAAATGACCACTTTCTAATTTTTTACATGTAAGGTAATTTGAGTATTACTTCATGATTGCAAATAAAAGTATATTTTTAAAACTTATTAGTGACCACACAAAGTTGTGTTGTATCATTTAGAGTAATGTTAAGCTATAATAGTGGGAATAAGAGCCTGTTATTATTACTGCCTAGAAATAGCTACTTTATTATTTTGTGTTTTCTAAAAAGAATTTGTTACAAAGAGTTACACAAATGATTTTTATTCAACTCGTTTCTTTAATTTTGTACGTAAACCTAAAATATTTGCGACAATAAAAGTCAAGGAGATGTAACAAAGCACAAAACGAATTTGAAAAATCCATAAATTTCACATGTTGTCTCCGTTTATAACTTGGGCATTACAATCCTGCGGCTAGACATCGGATTTGAGAAGATTTTTTTGCATAATTGGTTTTATTTTCATTTCTGATTTACGTGCGTATTAAAAGTTAAGCATCATCAACATGATAAATGAGGACGGTTTATAACCGCAAACACATATAATTTCAGGACGGCTCAACATTAAATTGTCAAGTTACTGTTATTTATTTATTCTTTATAAATTCTACTTGGATCACCTTTAGAATAATGTTTTAGTTCTCGGTGTCAGTTGTAATTAGTTTTAAAAATGTAGGAAGGTGCACAAACTAAACTATCATCATGTAACTCGCTCGTCTAATTAAAGTTTGGTTTGGTCGGGTTGCTGAAGACAGAGGAGGTCAACGTATTTCAATTCGTTTCACTTTAATTAAACAATTTTGAGCTGATTTCACCTAATTCAAAGCAGCACACCACCTGCCTCATGTCAACCAACTTTCACTAAGAGTTAATGTTGCGTTTTCGCTTCACCCTTGTTTTCAGCGCTGGAAGCTTCCACGGTGATTATAGGTGAGCATTTATTAGCATAAATCCCTACAAATTGTTCAAGAGAGGAGTGACCGGAAATCTATTAAAACGAACGAAGCTTGTTGGGTTTTTTTGCCTCTTCTTTTTTAAACTCTTGTATGTCAGCGAAAAAATTTTGCACAACCAACACTTTTTGCCACAGAGAGTGAGAAACTCTCTAGAGAATTAACACAAGGAATGTATAATACCAGTAATTAATGTATAATAATAAAAACGGCATGAATTTACAAGCAAAACAGAGGGACTCAGAAGTTTTAATGCTTTAATTTCCATTTGGATTTTTGCATTGCATGAAACTTTCAGCAAGTAATAAATTTTACACGAAAATTATTATAACTGCAATTTTTAACTTCAATTAAGCACACACTTTTTAAAAGTGAACATCATTCAAGCATTATTGGGGTCTATTCTGCGTCGAAGACCGTTAATACAGATCTCGCGCCCCAGAGAAAAATTTCAAGTAACATACAGGGTCAGTCACTGGAGAGTTTCTTCTGAAATAATTTGGGAAGCAACCCATTATACAATTCATATAGGCGTCTAGCTTCCTCATTTTGAAAAATTATAAAATTGAATCCAAGAATACTTTGCATATCTTTTTATTTTGACATTTAAAAAGTAACAGTCAATTTTCGTTAATTCAATGTATTATTACACAAATAACGAAAAAGTAGGCACGCTCTTAATCCATGGAGAATCCAAGAAAAATGCTCCTGTGGCAGCAGCAATGTATTTGAAGAGGTATCCAAATCAAATGCATCCGGTTCCTGAAACATTTAGAAAACTTTAAGCCAAGTTACGACAAGCTTGGCCCCCAATGAAAGACCCCGTCAGAGGACTGCTACTAGCCCAGAAAATGAAGCAGTAGACAATTACTTGTCATTTTGACGATTTCATTCATTTTCATCCAGCTCACATTGATTACTGAATTAATTTAAATAAAATATTATATTCCAGTTACATACGCTAAAGGTATTTTTGGTTGAAAACTAATTAATTTTCAAAGTAACTCTCCTGTGACTGACCCTGTATATTACCAGGAACATGAAAAAAATGTTTAAAAAATTCCTAAAAATTTTGACATTTATTTTTTGACATTTTACTTTTTTATGTCTATTTAATGATATTGATGATCTTGTATACGTTTTTCTATAATTATTTAGTTAAGGTACAAAAACTTTGCTAATAAAAGCCACAAACAACATTAAACAAAGATACATTTTCTTCTCTTCTTTCTTCCTTGTTTCCTCTTCTAATAGCTTGTAGCAAAAAAACTTGGAAAAGTACTTTTTCATCAAAAATAAATAGAGTCAAAGTGCAAAATTTAAACGCTCATAATTTCGACATTTTTATAGATAG